GCTGTTCAAAGCGCCTGAGCCCGTGTGCGCTGCGCCGGGGCCTCCGCACGGCCCCTCGGGCGCCGCCTCCAACTTCTACAGCGCGGTGGGCCGCAACGGCATCCTGCCGCAGGGCTTCGACCAGTTCTACGAGGCGGCGCCGGGACCCCCGTTCGCCGGCCCGCAGCCCCCGCCGCCGCCCGCGCCGCCGCAGCCCGAGGGCGCTGCTGACAAGGGCGACCCTAAGGCGGGGAGCGGCGGCGGCAGGAGCAGCCCCTGCGCCAAGACGACCCCCGGTCCGGAGCCCAAGGGGGCGGCGGAGGGCGGCGACGGTGAGGGCCCCCCGGGGGAGAGCGGGGGCGCAGGTAGGCGGCGGAGGCGGGCTGGGGGCCCGGGCGCGCGTGGGGGGGCGGGGGGCCTCTCTTGGCTTGCTCCGTTTTATGTGCCACTTTATAAGCGTTTGAGGGGGTTTATACATCCTATAAGATTTCCCGGGCCGTTGTAAAGCGTGTTTACGATAGGAAACCAATTTAGGTGGGCTTAAGGTAGACTTGGAGGAGGACATTAATCGCAGCAGAGAGCTTTGGCCCAGTCTTTGGGGCGAGGGGGACCGCTAGAGACCAGGTCTGCCTTCTCTTGCCCGGGTGCCGAAGGGAGAAGGGGGAGGTCAAGGGACAGTTTGTGATGGGGACCCTGGAGTCTCCCGCTTTTAAGGGAGGGGAGGGGGAAGTTTGATCCCTGAACTGGACTTTATCCAAGCTGCTGGCAGACTCGCGTCGCTGAAGTAGAGCTCGCGGCTCGGTCCCTCTGGGTTGCAACTCCCTCTGCGTCCCTACCCGGGTGACAGGGTCTGTGTGCATGTCTCTGTGTGTGTGTGTGTGTGTGTGTGTGTGTGTCCCCGGGCGTGAATACACATCCACACCCGTACACTCTACTCTGCCCGCCCATATATCATCCCCCACGACGCAGGCTGGGCCTTCCAGTGGCAGTAGGGGACGTCCCCAACGGGCCAGGTCTTGGCCCTCTCGCGGTGGCCTGGGCTGGCGGGCGGTTAGGGGTAACCAGAGAGCGTCCTCTCTTACCCTTCCGGTCTCTTTTCCTTGCAGTGGCCCCCCAGCGGTCCCGGAAAAAGCGCTGTCCCTACACTAAGTACCAGATCCGCGAACTGGAACGCGAGTTTTTCTTTAACGTGTACATAAACAAAGAGAAAAGACTTCAACTCTCTCGGATGCTCAACCTTACTGACCGGCAAGTCAAAATCTGGTTCCAGAATCGCAGGATGAAAGAAAAGAAACTGAACAGAGACCGTCTGCAGTATTTCACTGGAAACCCCTTATTTTGAGAGCTCCAGGAAGCGCCCCCCTCCCGCCCGGCCCCTGCTCTCCCACCCTCCTCCCCACCAGCCTGCCCTCCGCAGGCCCAATGTCCTTGGGTTTAATGACGCCTCTTCTCTGTGGAACTCCACGATTCCGACTCCTTCCCATGGTCAACTCAGGACCTCCCAGCGACCAGTGCAGCCTGCGGACGAGGCCGGGGACTTGGCCAAGAGGATCCTAATAAGGGGAAAATGGTAAATGCAAACGTCCCTTTACAATTTTACCGCCAATGTGCTGTTGTCACACACACACACACACACACACACACACACACAGTCCTCGTGGGGACGCGGTGGGCTCTGTAGGGAATTAGGCTGAGGGGCTAGAAGGCGCTGGTGGTTTTGTTCTGAATTTAGAAACCCCCTTCCTTCTCCTTCGATGAATACAGATTATTTAAACTCTGGGAAATGTACCTTTGGCCTGTCATATCAAAGCATAAGCCACTGTCTTTTCTGTGAATAAATGGTTTCTAGTAAAATGGAGGTCACAGCTTGAATGCACTGTATGAATTTTCCTCTTTGAAGAAGTTTAGTGCCCGATTACGATTTCCTAGTGGCCAGAGTTCTCCCTCTCCGGATGATAAATATCTTTTAATCTCACTAGAATAAAGGCTAGGATTTTTGCCCCACGAGACTACACTGATTTTTAAAATAATTTTAGCTATGAATTTCCAGTGGATGCTGTGCTCAGCCATGCTAGTGCTTACTTTCCCAGGGACTGAGCCTGGAGAGACTGGGGGACCATGGAGAGATTTCTTCCCCAGCCTAATGAACTTGCAATTTCTGAAAAAAACAAGGAACAAATTTCCAAACCAGTTAGAAAAATCCAAATTCTTTTAGAGGCCACCATGAAGTTGAGGTCACTTAAAATATGAGATTAACAAAAGAGAGCCTTGCATCTTCAAATAATAATTTGTTAAAAGGAAGTAAAGGAAGAGGGCTGGATCTTTGCTGGTGTCATTTGGGCCTGGAGCAGGGGAGGGAAGTCCCCTCACTAGGATAGGCCAGAGGCTGCAGACCCTGATTCTTACTGCTTGTATCACTTCAAGTTAAAGAATGTGGCAAGGGCTGTGGCACACTTTGTGTTGCAGGGCCAGGCCAGGCTGTTTACAAAACCTTGAACTGTCTAGACAACACCATAAAAGCTAAAGTTCTAAACAGCTTAATTGGGTTATATTATACACCTTCTGGTGGGCCCAAAAGAGATTTCCGCAATGTGCCATAAACCCGAGAAGTGAGAAAAGCTTTTCTTTCTCTGAAAAGAGGAGAGTGGGTCTTATGACTCTTAAATTCTCTAACTCAAAGTAAAAAAAAAAAAAATCCTTAAGATACACAGAACCTCAGGCATCTTCTAGAGAGGCATGCATTTCCAAGTGGAAAGCTTTTGAAATTGCTAAGTCCTTTTATTTTTAATTTTATTTTCAGAAGGAAAAACATAAGTGCATAAGTGTATGCCTTTGAACTTCCAAAATGTCAAGGTCATCACCTTTAACCTTTCTGAATAATTAGGCGCCTTAAAGTTCTTCTGTGATTTTCAGCTGCCACCCACTCTCACACACATCCAGACCCCCACACACGTTTATGACCACACAGAATCATATTGAGGCTCGCCATAAATCTAAGCAAATTTCTAGCTTCAGGATCAATAACCTTCATTTCCCTTTAAACATTTGTATAATTCAATAGTAATTTGCTTTTATAAATAAAATAAAAAAAAACAACCTCAAAAAAAACCCCAAACTTGCCAGCTAGGTGATAATACTTTCCAGCAATCTTTTCAATACACTTAACCAATGCTGCCAGTGTCTTTTGCGGGGAGAGAGGGCTCTTAGATAATTATTCCCTTCACTTTAATGAAGGACTACAGGTTTTTAAGCAGACATTGGAAGGAGGGAGTTCTGTTCAGACTTAAACCTTCCTTATATTTGAGAGCAATTTGTCACCCTGTCAAATAAATTATTGCACTTTCTATGATGTGGAACAAAAGAAAACTATATCTATATTTAATGCATATGTTAAACTATATGTACTTATATATAAAAATCATCTCTGAACCTTTGGTAGAAGAAATAGGGGGGGAAGCCCACAATTGAATAATTCCATTTGTTCGCAAGGGAATTCCTTTGTTTAGAATTCTGGGCCTCCGTTAAAATGTCAGTGCCCTTGTAGTATGATCGTTCCAGGATCTTAAAACTGGTTTATTTCTTTTTCTCCCCATCTATCTTCCCCCCCCCTCCCCCCAACTGCATCTAAACGTAGCAAGCTTGTGTGTCCTCCACTGCAGGCGAGCTGGAGCCCTGAGCCATCATTTCCCGTTGGCGGGGCCTTGGAGAGCCACACGGGGGCGCACTCAGGTTCCAGAAGCTGCGTTTGGCCAAGAGGCAGCTGTACCTTGTCTTTCCAAGACTGAATTTTAATAGGCGATCTCAGCTGGTTAGAAATAGGCGGCCGCTAAGGTGTTTGCTTGCTTTTTGTTTGTTCGAAGCAGCCAAGAGATGTGAGGAGTTGTTCAAAGACAAAGAACAGAGAATAACCCAGATTCCTGGGAAAGGCGATCGTCTAATCGTTGTCTCTTTAACACCCCACAAAATCCAATAAAACTCCCCACCTTGGTATAACCTGGTGGATGTGAAAGAGGTCTTTTAAAAAGATAAATACATGCATTTTGAAATCGAGGATGGCTACTAGGAGTTAATGAAATGAAAGGAAAATCTGTTTGCTCGTTGCTTTGAGTTTGGAGAGAGATGAGGCTGCGATGTGTCCCCCCCCCCCAAAGCCGCTTGCGTCCTCCCTGCGCGATCGCCGGCCCCCGCGACCATTAAAAGGCTTTTGTTTAAGGAAGATGAGGCCGCTGGCGTCCAGGCTGAGGGTGATTTCAGGGAAAACGAGATGCGATGCGTCGGGCAGCGCGCTTCGTTCCCGGGGCGGGGGCCCTGCGCAAGGCTGAGCGCGCGGGGCGATCGTGGCCGTGTGGCGCGGGCAGGGTCGGAGGTTCGGTCACCACCACGGCCGGCTGGCTGAGGCGGCGGCGCGAAGTGGCAGACTGGCCGGGAGGCCTTTCCATCCGAGGCTCTGCCCAACTGGGGACACATTCGAAACAATCTGGGTTGGCTTTGCGTTTAACTAAAGCTGGCTCACTCTTCCAGACTGTCCGCGGCCGTGGGGCGCCAAGGTTGATGTTGATGTTGGCCATCGGAAGCCCGGAGCTTGTCTTGCCGCGTGCTCCCTGGAAGGCCGCTGGCACTGGGGAAAGCTGCGTCTCCGCCCGGTCTAGAGGAGCGTGGCTGTCCCTTGTCCCTCCTGAAGTTTATTGTGACGGCGCACGCAGCGCCCGGGGATTTTCGCCGGCCTGGGGACTCGGCTGTCCCTGTCCTCCACCCTGTAGTCCCTGGGCCAAAAGCCCCGGACCCTGCGGTCCACTCACGAGCGGGCTCGGGCTTCTGAGGGGGCCAGGGCACCCGGAGGCCTCGGTGAATCGCTGGGGAGGGACGTGGGTGTCCCCCGCGGAGGTCCCCCACTTCTGTCTGTCAGTCACGGAGTCCGGCTTTGCTATTGTGAAGCGATTCTGTCTGGGAGGGCTAAGAACCCCTCCTCCCCAAATATCGTTGTGTCCCCTCTCTGGGCAGCCCCAGCCGAGGCGCATCTGGCGGGGCCCGGCTCCTTGGCCTTGGCGGCCGGCGGCTGCTCAGCGGGCCTGCGACTCCTTTCCTCCGGACAGCGCCCAGAATGGGCCTGAGAAGGCCCAGAATGTCGCATCAGGACCCCTGGGGACTGCGAACCTGTCCCCTCCTGAGCGCGTGGAGCCCTCAGAGGGTGGCCGTGGATCCTGAGACCCCAAGGTCTCAGACCCCGATGTGGAGGGGAAATGCGCAAAGTCGGAGGCTTTTGTGTCTGTAACGGGGAGAGACGTCGGCAGCGCACCCTGTGGCATGCACCGCAGACCCTTCCTTGCATTGGCAGCTTTGCCAGCCTCCTCCTTTGCCGCCTTGGTTTCTTATCACCCAGGTTGGCAAGCACACTTTAGAACCCCAAAGTGTGGCCTGCAGCTTTAAATTTGTCCCCAATCACCAGCAAGTCCCCAAGAGTGGCCCTGCTCCCAGACCATTCAGGGTCCTAATTCGGGGGGTGATCTTAGAATCTGTTTAGACCCAGGACCACCACTCTTCTTCCAGAAGACAGAAAGGTGGGGAACTGAAGTCTTCCTTTGACTACAAATGAATGCTAAGTTCTGTCTAAAGTGGCCCTTTTCATTTTCCGATGGAAAGTACTGTGCCAGAAAGAATGGTGTCGTGGTACAGATATGAGTGTTCTTTTCTTTTATGGAGCAATATTGATTTATTATTGATGGTAACTGCCCCAGCTCATCGAAAGATGATCGATGGGGCAGCTACACTAAATACTCATAAGGAAAATAAAGCTATCCTTGAACGGTGCTGCCTTTTTATCCTATTTGTTTCTTCACAGCCTAAAGATCTTAAAGAGACTTTCTGTTCTTCCCAGGTCAGATAATTTTCTTGCACTACTTCTATTGTGGTGGATTTTTATTATTTTTTAAAAAATCACTTTTGAAAATTGGCAGGCTCCAGCCTCAAAAAGACAAGTCTGAAGACAGACATTTCGAAAAATTTGAAATGATGACTTGTGTGAAAATAGATTTGAAATTATATCGAATGCACATAAAGGGTGGAGAAGACCTGTTTAAAACCAAATCCAACATGGATATGACTTTGGATTGGAAGGCCACCCAGAATTAATGCAGAAAGCCCCCCAGATTTGGAAGGCAGATCCTGCTGGCCCTGGCTCACTGCAGACCCCTCCGCTCAGAAGGGCTTGGCTGTTTTTAACCTGGATAGTTTGTTTTTTCTTTTTTCACGTATAAATAAAGATTATGAAAGGGCATTTGATGGGCATAAAATTCCTGATTAGACTGAACAACCTGGCCTCGAGTGGAATAGGGAGAGTGGGGTATGCCTGCTGCAACAGCTGGCCTGGTGGAGAGGTAGAGGGGAGACAGCGGGAGACGCACCCGGCTGAGTGCGGGCGCCTGCCGAGAGCTTGTGCTGCTGGCATGCTGGTCGCCCTGGGCATGCTTAGCTTGGGCTCCGGATCACCATCTCCGCGCTGCAAGAAAGTGGTTTTGGGGTGCTGGTCAGCAGCTCTTAGCTTTGGGGAGGACCCTAGCAGATCAGAGTAAAAAGCTGTTGCTGTTGGGTTTTATTTCCTGTCTCCTTCCATTCCAACAACAGCTAAAAAGCAGCCGCCCTAGTAGAAAGGTAATGTTTAAACCTCAGGCTTCCCCGGCATCCCCAAGCAGTTAGAGGCGCCAGGCTTTTAACCTGACAATGATGTTGTATTTGAACAGCTGCATAAAGGTTTAAAAGGTCCGTCTCATTGCCACCGCGGAGTTTTTAAAAGGGGTTATTGTTTGGGTGAGGGCACAGCGAGGGGACAGGGAGAGCAGCGCTGTCCCAAGGCCGAATATAAGGTCCAGGGCCTGCTTCCAACAGGTCAGGGGAGATTCCTTGTGGGGAGGGGGAGAGGCAAAGAATTTGTTGGAAAAGGTTTTTTTGTGTGTGAAGGGCGGCCAGAGCTGTTCCATCCCCCCAAGAATGCTAAAGTGCTTTAATGAGCTAAAGATCTGTTCTGCTGAGGCTGACTTCCCCCCCTTGTCCACAAGTTCAGCCTTTGGGCCTGAAATCCAAGGCCAGTCCATGAGCAGGCGATTGGGAGGAAAGAACGTGGATGCCCTGCCGAGACCAAGAGCGGGTTCATTGCCTGAGTTTCTAGGGCCATGTCCCTTCTTGTCCACCACAAAGGGAACCTGGGACCCCAGAGGATGACTCCAGGGCCCGGAAAGGCCCCTTCATCCGGGCCAGGCTTTGGAAATCAAGGTTAAAGCGCCCCGCTGATGCCCCGAGGCCGCGGCTTCCGCAGGCCTTCTCATTCCCCTGCAGCCAGAGAAGAGGGAGGAAGTTGTTGGAGAAGTTTCTCATAAAACTCTTAGTTTCCACGGTGGTGGTGGTTCTTTAATGAGCTCGACCACAGCCCCAGACCAAATCCTCTTTATAGAACTCTCCCTCGCCAAAGCAAGCAGGGAGCTAAGACCCTTCTACCTCCTTTCCCTCCCCCTTCCTCTCTTAACTAAGCCAAACCTTGTCAAATAATTTTAGGAATTGTCCAGAACTATAAAACTCTACTTCTGACAAAACTATCGCTTTTAATATTTGACGATTTGTGTTAAAACAAAAATTGACCTTCTTGGTTGGTAGTGAAGGGGAAAAAATCAATAGTATAATTTTCAATAATTCATAAAGCGAACACCATTATGCTAAATCTTAACTATTAATCTTATCCTTTACAAAGTCTCGATTGATTTGTTAATAAAATATCTTCCCGTGTGTGGCAACAGCGGGTATAACTCTTTAAAAACCTTCAGAAGCAAGAAAATTACCAAGTAGCCCAAGAATGTAGATGAGAATTTTATTGATCGCCCTGATTCTTCTTAATATGTATTAATAAATTCCACAACCTTTTGTACCTTTCACTTGTCAGAAACCAATGCTTTTACAAAATCCATAAAAGGAAAACCTATTTTTCTTTGCAGAAGAACCAAAATGACACCTTTGCTTGTCTCTCCCTCCTGCCCTACCCAGTTTCCTAAAACTTCTGCAGTCCGAGGGCGACATTCCCCCTCGCCTTTAACGTGTCTTGTCTGTCTCTCTTCCTTCTTTCCTGCTCACAGTTTGCAGGGTGTGAGGGGAAACCTGGGTTTCGTTGCCCGCTGGGCGTCCGAGGGACGCTTTCGCGGATGGCGAAGTGCTAGCGAAGGATTGTCCCCTCACTGAAGGCTCTAGGTGGCTCGCCCACCGAGATCCGGGTGTGGTTGCTCGGAAAGCCCAGGGTTGGGGAGCCCGCGGGGGCGCCGGGAGCCCGAGCGGGCAGAGGGAGAAGGCAGCGCAGGGCAGGTCCTCAGGGCTGCTGCCTGGCTGGCTTCGTGGCCTGCCGGCGCTCCCGGCCTTTCCCCTCCCTTCTCCTTGGACACTTTGGCCGCGTCTTTGCGCAGGGGTTCTCTCTTTTGGATCCCTGGGGTGGGATGTGTCAGGGCCCCCCAGGAATTGGACTCACCTTCCCCGACTGCCAGGGCCTACAAGGACCAGCCTTCGCCCCCACCCTTCCACCCTGGCCCCGGCCCTCTCGGGCGCTCTGTGCCTGGGGGTGTGCGGGGAGTGCTTTGCTTCAGTGTGCTGGCGCCATGGCGCCCGGGCTTCCCTCCCAGCGCGCGCGTCCTCTCCGGCCGCTCAGCCGGAGCCTTCTCTCCCGCCGGCCGGGCTAGGAGATTGGGGCGGAGGACGCGAGTGGGGCGGCCGGGCCAGGGCAGCCCCGGGGAGGCGGGCGGGCAGCGGAGAGCGCGGGCCGGCGGTTTCCTGTGCGCACTATCGCGGGCGCGTAGTAGATGTCGCTGTTGTCCGTGATTACGCGGCCGGCCGGCCGGGCTCGGGAGCACGTGACCCGCGAGGAGGCTGCGGCTCAAGGCCATTTTCAAATCTCATTGGCTTGGTTGTCATGTGGTCGGCAGAGGCTTCCACAATTACACGGGGAATGTTTTCCTAGAGATGTCAGCCTACAAAGGACACAATCTCTCTTCTTCAAATTCCTCCCCAAAATGTCCTTTCCCAACAGCTCTCCTGCTGCTAATACTTTTTTAGTAGATTCCTTGATCAGTGCCTGCAGGAGTGACAGTTTTTATTCGAGCAGCGCCAGCATGTACATGCCACCACCTAGCACAGACATGGGGACCTATGGAATGCAAACCTGTGGACTGCTCCCATCTCTGGCCAAAAGAGAAGTGAACCACCAAAATATGGGTATGAACGTGCATCCTTATATACCTCAAGTAGACAGTTGGACAGACCCGAACAGATCTTGTCGAATAGAGCAACCTGTTACACAGCAAGTCCCCACCTGCTCCTTCACCACCAACATTAAGGAAGAATCCAATTGCTGCATGTATTCCGATAAGCGCAACAAACTCCTTCCTGCCGAGGTCCCTTCGTACCAGAGGCTGGTCCCCGAGTCCTGTCCCGTTGAGAACCCCGAGGTTCCTGTCCCTGGATATTTTAGACTGAGTCAGACCTACGCCACCGGGAAAGCCCAAGAGTACAATAACAGCCCCGAAGGCAGCTCCACTGTCATGCTCCAGCTCAACCCTCGCGGCGCGGCCAAGCCGCAGCTCTCGGCCGCCCAGCTGCAGATGGAGAAGAAGATGAACGAGCCCTCGAGCGGCCAGGAGCCCGCGAAAGGCTCCCAGGTGGAGAGTCCTGAGGCCAAGGGCGGCCTGCCCGAGGAGAGGAGCTGCCTGGCCGAGGTCTCCGTGTCCAGCCCCGAAGTGCAGGAGAAGGAAAGCAAAGGTCGGTATAAGCGGTGTTGCCACCCCAGCGGGGCGAGCAGCCTGGGAACCGGCGGAGAGGGAGCGCCCGGGCGCCCTGCGTCAAGCCCAGGCACCCAGGCGGGGCGCCCCGACTAGGCAGGTGCTGCTCCTTTGGCTTTTAGAAAGGGGATCCCCCTCCCGGAGATGGTCCCCGCTTCTCCCCGTTGCCTAGGGCCCTCCCCGCCGGCCATGGCCCCGCGCTGATGGCGCCGGGACAGAGGAAGCGCGCTGGCCGCGGATTTGATGTATTTTCCTGAGCTAGACCAGAAACGCAACAAAAGAGCGCCAAGGAGACCTGCGGCTCTCGTAAACACAGCCCCGGAGCCTCCTTTCTCCCGCTCAGATGTGCATCCCCTGCTTTGCCTTGCACCCAGTGATGATTTTACGGCGGTCCAGGGCTCCTTGTTTGTGTTCAAATGTACGCACCCCGCGTCCTGCGAGCTTGGTGCGGGGCATTGGGGTGGCGAGGGGCACGAGCCCGCGGGGCAGGTCAGGACTTCGGCCGGGCTGCGGGGCTCCCCGGTCTGGGTAACCTTGGCTTTGTCTGGGGGCAGTGCGGGGAGGCTTCGCAATCCATCCGAGAAGGGGGCACAGGCGGAGGGGAAATCGGAACCAACCGCATTGCCCATCCACAGGGTCAACCTTAGGGCTGGGCTGCGGGACCAAGTGCAAAGCCTGGCCTCTGTGAGGACTCCTGCCCGCAGCTTTGCCCTGGTGCCTGGAGGTGGGCCACAGCAAGCTGCTCCATTTCGGGGGGGGGATGTTTTTGTGAGGGGGTAAGAGAGCATGAGGACTCAGTTACCTTTTGAAGCAGTATGGGCCTAGAAAGCCAGTAGAGTGTTCCTACCTGCCCTGGAGAGAAGAGGAAGAAAGTGGTGGCCAGGGGGACTTGGGGTCACAGTGGGATCAGCAGGTTGGCCCGGGCTGTGGCTCTGTTCCCTCTGCCCTCCTATGAGCTGACCAGTGAGAATGTTGTTCAGAGATCCTGGGAAGTTCAGTGCTGTCCGGAGGTTTTGTGCAAGTCCGTTAGTTGAATGTGAGAAACTTGAAGGTGAGCGTCCTGCCTTTGTGTCATTTTGAGCATTTACTTTTTATTTAGCTTCACTTTGACATCAATTAAAAATCCCTTCCAGGCCCACCTAATGTGAGTAATGTCTAATACCAGCATTTCCCAAAGCGGCCTGGCCACCATGGGTCATGGCCAAGGGTACATTTTAACAGAGAGAAAGAAGAAAGGGGGGGGGGGAAAGACCAAACTTGATTTTTTTTCTTCTCTTCCTTTTAATTTTGTTAGAGGAAATCAAGTCTGATACTCCAACCAGCAATTGGCTCACTGCAAAGAGTGGCAGAAAGAAGAGGTGCCCTTACACTAAGCACCAAACGCTGGAATTAGAGAAAGAGTTCTTGTTCAATATGTACCTCACCCGCGAGCGCCGCCTAGAGATCAGTAAGAGCGTTAACCTCACCGACAGGCAGGTCAAGATTTGGTTTCAAAACCGCCGAATGAAACTTAAGAAGATGAGCCGAGAGAACCGGATCCGAGAACTGACCGCCAACCTCACCTTCTCTTAGGTCCGAGGCCAGGCGGAGGCCAGGATCCGGAGAGGGAGCACCGAGTTCCGGGGCCGAGGCCTGGAAGACTGGGAAGGCGGAAACAAAATCTTCATTGCTCTTTGTTTTTTTGTTTTGTTTTGTTTTTCCTGCTAAAATGTGACTTTGGGGTTATTCTGTTCGTGCTGCAAGTGACCTGTAATCCCTATGACTATATATATTAAAAAAATACCTAGCACGTGTAATTTATTATTTTTCATCATAACGCAGGGTAACTATTACTGCGCATTTTCATTTGGTCTTAACTTATTGGAACTGTAGTGGTATCCATCCATCCATCCATCCAATCATCCATCCATCCATTCATCCATCCATCCATCCATCCATCCATCCATCCATCCATCCATCCATCCTTCCTTCCTTCCATCCATCCATCCAGCAATGTGACTTTTTCCATGTTTGTTTGGGGTTTTTTTTCTAACACAAAAGGTCTGTGTGTGTGGCTAGTCCATGAGCTCATGGTGTTTTGAATACATCCAGTACTTTAAAATTTACATAGAAATATATATATATTAAAAAAGATTAAGACAACCCACAAGCTTTGGGGGGAGGGGGACTTCAAAAAGCACATTACAATGTATCTTTTCACAAATGAACTTAGCAATTGTCTTTGGTGAGATGGAGTATTGATGACTTATGCCCTGTAGCCTTTCTCTTGTGGTGCATCTTGTGCTTTGGTAGACGTACAACAACGACTGTCCTTTCTGTGCATGTTCTGGTCGCATGTATAATGTAATAAACTCTGGAAATGAGTCCGCTCCCTCTGCTTTCTGCAATGGAAATATCTTAGGTGAACACCTAATTCTTTTTGAGATGATCTTCCTGTTCAGCTGCCTGTTTGGGGCAGTGGGTGGGGGTGACAGAGAGCAGGAGAAGGGAGATGGGGTGGACAATCACAGAGGCCTAGGGTGCTAGGAGGGAGAGATCATCTGGCCTGTTCCCATAGCTGGTGGCAAAGGCGCCTCTCTCCTGGATCACTCACTCCTCAAAGTTGGGCACATCTCGGCACTCTAAAAGGGTGTGCACTTCCCCCTCTTTCCAGCCAGGTAAGTATGCCTACACCCCAGCTGCTTTGCCCCCCATCTGGAAGCAACCCATATTGTGTCATTCCCTTCGTTTTAGCTGTGTTGTTTTTAATGCTTTCAGTGGGGTCTTGGAGATGGCTGGCTGGCATGCCATTGTCCGAGGCGCCAGGTGGAAGCCAGTCTTGCCCACCTGGAAGCAGTCAGGCCTCTATTCCAGAAGGAAGGACAAGCAGCAGCTTAGCCTCACAGCGGATCCAATTCTCCCCCCTTCCCCTCGCTCCCACCCCACGCCAGGCACCAGAGAGCCAGGCCACACCAATGCGGAGGACGCGTGAGTTCCCACAGCCCTCTTTGCCTTGGCCTTTCTGTGGAAGGATTTTATACTGGACCATTACCTTTTAGTGATCTACTTGAATTTTGTTGTTTTGTTTTTTAAAGAAGGAAAGATTCTCCCCAGTCAGTCCTCACCCTGTTTACAAAATACTGTCTGAAGAATGAAGGGCAACTGGAAGAAAATGTGCAAATGAACATGACTTCCCCTGAAGTCCAATGTTGCCACCACTTCCAGGGCTGGGGAGACAGCTTTCCCAGGGCTCCTGCAGGATTCCATCCCTAGAGAGCAGACCGACCCAGGCCCACGGGGTAGAAGGGAGGAGCGGCCTTTGGGAGCATAGCTCACAGAGAATTCGCTGCCCTGGGTCCCCCTGCACATTCAGAGTCTTCAGGCAGTTGCACTGAACAGGCAGGCCCTTTACGTTTTCCTCCTCCTGTTGCCCCAAACAGCCCATTTGGTGTCCTACATCTCAGAGCCCGCTTCCAGAGTCTTGGGGCATGCAACATCTACTTTAAGTTTTTAACTCCCTCCTGAAAACTCCCACCCTGCCTGAATTTTACATGGGCCATGTCTTTCATGGGAGTTGGAGGGAGGGGGGCTCAGAATTGATGCCAGTCTGGGAACACTGAAATCCATCTGCCCTGGACCTTTCCTTGAGTAGAGGAAAGAGGATTTTAAATTCGCTTTTTCTCTCAGCAGTGTGAGGCATGCTGTTGTTGACAGGGGGCCATGTCTCCGAGGAAAACCTGCCCTTTACAGGCAAAGGCAGCCTCTCTGGAACAAAATCAAAAAGCCATGGGCAAAGACCATCAATCAGGCCATAAGTAGCCATTTCCCCTTCCTTTCCGGGGCTCGAGGTGGTCAGAGGGTGCGCTGGCAACTTGTGGAGCAAGGAAGATGTTCTCTGCCTGCGACCTGGCCGCTTTTGTCTCGGCGCCCAGCCGGGCTTCCGAGGCTTTGTACCATGGATTTGGGAGTGACAATGGGCATTTCCCTCAGATTCAAGGCTGCCCAGTCTTACCTCCAGAGGGGGAGGAAAAATTCTGAGCGGCCCCAGGACAGGTCATTCGTCGGGATTTTTCCAGAACCCCCTGGGATCCACTGGGAAGGCCCTAAGTGTGGGCAGCGCGAGGCCACCCTGTTGGGGACCCTCACCCACTTGCCTCACTGAGGCAGGGCCTGTGACTGGCGGGCACCTAGGCGCTGCTCTGTGGCTGTTCTCTTCCAGGGCCTCCCAGGTCATCGACGAGATGGGCGCCTGGCCGCCGCTGCCCGCGTGGTGCCGACCCAGCGCTTGGCGACCCTCGCGGGGCATCCCTCGCGGGGCATCCCGAAGGCCCTGGCGAGGTGGACGCCTCCCGCTCCTCCAGGCCCGGCGTGTGCCCGCCTCACGTCGAGGATATGTGGCTGCGCGCGTGTGTAAGTGTGGCGGGGGAGGGGGCCTCCGAGCTGCTCTATCCGTCCGTTTTATTAGAGTCACATTAATCTATAATCAAATACACCTCATAAAATTTTTATTGAAAGGCATAATATCATTACAGAGGTCTTCCACCTGTTTTAAACAACACGACAAGCTGTGAGAAAGAGTGTATGCACAGGGGGGGATGGGGCTCAGAGAGGGAGCTGAATCGTGGGGAGAAGATCTCCCCTCGGGCGCCAGGGGGCTGCTCCCAAAGCCAGGCCGACCGGCGTGCCCGCCCTGCGCTCCCGGTGGCTCCGGACTGGGGCTGAGGTTGGGAAGCGCGCTCTGCGCGCCCAGGGCGCACGGAGCAGGACACAGAACCCAGGACCTGGGGGTCTGGAACCGGGGGTCCCCGAGTGAGGGTCGCAGGAGGAGGTGAACAAATAGTCCCCAGCGCCTCCCGCGGCCGCCGCAGGCCTGTCGTGCAGGCTGCCACCAGGCGGGCCGAGCCGGGCCCGGCGCACAGGCCCGGGCCGCCGGTTTCTAATTGTGGCGCTTATGTTGATGATGATTTTTTTTTTTTTTTTAAATCACAGCAGCCCCCAGTTTAGCGGACTGATTTACTCCGGGTATTGGTAAATATGATCACGTGGGCCGCGCGACCAATGGTGGAGGCTGCAGCCTGCGAACTAGTCGGCGGCTCGGGCGCCGGCGGGGAGCGGCGCGGCGGCGGCTAGTGTGACCTCGGGTGGGAGCGCGTGGCGCCTTGGAATGGCCTCGAGTGGCGCCCTCAGCAACTACTACGTGGACTCGCTCATAGGCCATGAGGGCGACGAGGTGTTCGCCGCGCGCTTCGGCCCGCCGGGGCCGGGGGCGCAGGGCCGGCCCGCAGGTGTGGCCGACAGCCCGGCCGCCGCTGCCGCCGAGTTCGCCTCCTGTAGTTTTGCCCCCAAATCGGCCGTGTTCTCCGCCTCGTGGTCCGCGGTGCCCGCCCAGACCCCGGCGGCGGCGGCGATGAGCGGCCTGTACCACCCGTATGTGCCCCCGCCGCCCCTAGCCGCCGCCGCCTCCGAGTCCGGCCGCTACGTGCGCTCCTGGATGGAGCCGCTGCCCGGCTTCCCGGGAGGCGCGGGCGGCGGAGGCGGCGGC